CGCAAGAGCGTTTTTCGGATGTCTCCTGCTTAGAGCGTAATTTGGCTCTAATTTACATCGTCACTTTTTATTTTAGACAATGCCAAGGCTGTACGTTTCTTAGTCTTCTTCACCGTTATAACGCGGGATGCACACACCGTTATAACGTGTAACACACACTGTTATAACGTGTAACACACACACACCGTTATAACGTGTAACACACACTGTTATAACGTGTAACACACACACACCGTTATAACGTGTAACACACACTGTTATAACGTGTAACACACACACACCGTTATAACGTGTAACACACACACACACACCGTTATAACGTGTAACACACACACCGTTATAACGTGTAACACACACACCGTTATAACGTGTAACACACACACTGTTATAACGTGTAACACACACACACACTGTTATAACGTGTAACACACACACACCGTTATAACGTATAACACACACACACTGTTATAACGTGTAACACACACACACTGTTATAACGTGTAACACACACCGTTATAACGGTGTGTAACACACCGTTATAACGTGTAACACACACACCGTTATAACGTGTAACACACACACTGTTATAACGTGTAACACACACCGTTATAACGTGTAACACACATTGTTATAACGTGTAACACACACTGTTATAACGTGTAACACACACCGTTATAACGTGTAACACATACTGTTATAACGTGTAACACACACACTGTTATAACATGTAACACACATTGTTATAACGTGTAACACACACTGTTATAACGAGTAACACACACACTGTTATAACGTGTAACACACACACCGTTATAATGTGTAACACACTGTTATAACGTGTAACACACACTGTTATGACGTATAACACACACTGTTATAACGTGTAACACACACACACTGTTATAACGTGTAACACACACGCTGTTACAACGTGTAACACACGCTGTTATAACGTGTAACACACACCGTTATAACGTGTAACACACACCGTTATAACGTGTAACACACATTGTTATAACGTGTAACACACACATTGTTATAACGTGTAACACACACACTGTTATAACGTGTAACACACACGCTGTTACAACGTGTAACACACACGCTGTTATAACGTGTAACACACATTGTTATACCATGTAACACACATTGTTATAACGTGTAACACACACTATTATAACGTGTAACACACATTGTTATAACGTGTAACACACACACACTGTTATAACGCGGTTTTTGAGCGGTCGACGATGAACTACTTTCATGAGCTGCGTGGCTGAGCGGTAAAGTGATACAGTACGCGGAATTAGATGGCAACGCGGCGGTGAAGTCGTAGTACATCGTATCTCGCCATACTTTGTCGCATTATTCATGGGGGGAAATGTGTTTCGCTTAACGCGATATTCGCTAAACGGGAAACCTTTCAGCAAGGCGTTCACTTCCGCAATTGTCTCATTTGCAGTGGCGTTTTTATTATTTTCGCAAAAAATCCGCTACTCTGGGCCCCCGGCACACAATGGCCTAACTCTTGCGAACGAGGTCAAGGGATCTTTGACACACCGCTGTGAGCGTAGCGGACGGCGCGTGGAGGTCGCGTTATTCCAGCGAACAACACCCGCGGGATTAATCGGGGCAGCCAGCGAGATTCGAACCGTCATTGCCTCCGCAGCATGCGGCGAACGAGCCTGCAGACGGTCAGCGCCACGCACCCGCGTCTCTACTCATTGTTTTTTTCGGTAAAGTCACGTATGTAGATATACAATAACATTTTATTAAAACAAAAACAAACAATCAGGACGTTTCGATCACAACGCAAGCGATCTTCATCAGGTGTCAAGAACCAATCACGGAGGTAAATACAACAACAAAAAGATGAAAGACGAGAATTAGACAAACCTGGTAAAAACATTATGTGAAGCACATCCAGTCAACTGTGTTGTTGGCCTGACTGGATGTGCTTCACATAATGTTTTTTTCAGGTTTGTTGAATTCTCGTCTCTCATCTTTTTGTTGTATTTACCTCCGTGATTTGTTCTTGACACCTGATGAAGATCGCTTGCGTTGTGATCGAAACGTCGTGATTGTTTTTTTGTTTTAATATAATTTTATTGTATTTCTACATACGTGACTTTACCGAAAAAAACAATGAGTAATTTTATGCAGTCACGAAAGCTTTAATACTTTATTACCCGCGTCTCTGTCCGTGGTGCGGGCGAGTGGTGGCACGGCGGTTCGCGTGCGGCGCTAAGAAACCGCCCCTGCTGGACATCTGTGAAAAAAAGAGCTTTGTAGCTCATCAGATTCCTCCTCCAGTGTAAGCAAATATTTCTGATTCACGCTCACGGTCAACGCCGGTGACGGCTACGTGAACCGGTCCTGGGCCTACCCTGGGTCGACTCAGCCTCAAACGAGTACCCTGGTGCGGTGTGTAAACATCGTCACTGGGGAGACAAAGGCGGCCGGGCGTGGTGCTGGTCACCCACCACCTCGTGTGCCGTTCCAGCCTTCATAGGTGCTCGCTCACAGCACTTGCCCCAACAGTCTGTTAAAGGCTATACGGGGGATCTTTGGCTTTTATGTGTTTTTTGTATTTTTCAGTGCGCGTATGCGTGCGTGGGTGGGTGGGTATGCAAGCAGCCGGTCATCACGGTCAGTCAACTCAGAACACCTGCGTCTGTCCAGTGGCAAATATTTGAACTGGTCTTGAGCCTCCCCTAGGTTGACTCAGCCTTAAATGAGTTCCAAGTGCTACATCAGTATTGGGGAGACAAAGGCGGCCAGGCGAGGTGCTGGCCGTCCACCCCTTTGTGTGCCGTGCCGGCCTTCATTGGCGCTCGCTAGAGGCACTTGCCCCAAAAGTCTGTTACAGCTATGCGGAGGATCTTTGCCTTTGTGGATGTGTGTGTGTGTGTTCAAGGACGTTTATGCACTTGGCTGTGTTGGCTTGTGTGCATGTGGGTGATCGTGTCTTTGTGTATGTGTTCTTCTCGGTGTATGTAACTCCGGGGGTAATACCGCAGCTGTGTTGCTGAGATTAAGTTTCTGCTTTAATATAGAAATGTATATACATATTTTATCTCTCAATCTTAGCTTTTGCCAGATGTGACTTTAACTGTGTTCAACAAACGCTGAATTCACGAAGAGCACTTCAGACAGGAGCATGGGAATAATCACAACTCCTTACCACTCGCCGACCCGCGAGCTCGCTCACCCACCAGCTCACTCATCGAGAAACTCAATCACCCACCAGCTCACTCATCCACCAGCTCACTCATCGAGAAACTCAATCACCCACCAGCTCACTCATCCACCAGCTCACTCATCGAGAAACTCAATCACCCACCAGCTCACTCATCCACCAGCTCACTCATCGAGAAACTCAATCACCCACCAGCTCACTCATCCACCAGCTCACTCATCGAGAAACTCAATCACCCACCAGCTCACTCATCCACCAGCTCACTCATCGAGAAACTCAATCACCCACCAGCTCACTCATCCACAAGCTCACTCATCGAGAAACTCAATCACCCACCAGCTCACTCATCCACCAGCTCACTCATCGAGAAACTCAATCACCCACCAGCTCACTCATCCACCAGCTCACTCATCGAGAAACTCAATCACCCACCAGCTCACTCATCCACCAGCTCACTCATCGAGAAACTCAATCACCCACCAGCTCACTCATCCACCAGCTCACTCATCGAGAAACTCAATCACCCACCAGCTCACTCATCCACCAGCTCACTCATCGAGAAACTCAATCACCCACCAGCTCACTCATCCACCAGCTCACTCATCGAGAAACTCAATCACCCACCAGCTCACTCATCCACCAGCTCACTCATCGAGAAACTCAATCACCCACCAGCTCACTCATCCACCAGCTCACTCATCGAGAAACTCAATCACCCACCAGCTCACTCATCCACCAGCTCACTCATCGAGAAACTCAATCACCCACCAGCTCACTCATCCACCAGCTCACTCATCGAGAAACTCAGTCACCCACCAGCTCACTCATCCACCAGCTCACTCATCGAGAAACTCAATCACCCACCAGCTCAATCATCGATAAACTCAATCACCCACCAGCTCACTCATCCACCAGCTCACTCATCGAGAAACTCAATCACCCACCAGCTCACTCATCCACTAGCTCACTCATCGAGAAACTCAATCACCCACCAGCTCACTCACCCACCAACTCACTCATCGAGGAACTCAATCACCCACCAGCTCACTCATCCACCAGCTCACTCATCGAGAAACTCAATCACCCACCAGCTCACTCATCCACCAGCTCACTCATCGAGAAACTCAATCACCCACCAGCTCACTCATCCACCAGCTCACTCATCGAGAAACTCAATCACCCACCAGCTCACTCACCCACCAGCTCACTCATCGACAAACTCAATCATCCACCAGCTCACTCACCTACCAGCTCACTCATCGAGAAACTCAATCACCCACCAGCTCACTCACCCACCAGCTCACTGATCGAGAAACTCAATTACCCACCAGCTCACTCACCCACCAGCTCACTGATCGAGAAACTCAATCACCCACCAGCTCACTCATCCACTAGCTCACTCGCCCATCAGTGCACTCACTCACTAGCTCAAAAACACACTCAGAAACTCACCTACCAAACAAATCCCCCCAATCACAAATCAGCTCATTCTCACACCCAGCAGCTCAGCAAATACAGCAACACACTCGCTCAACCACTCACCCACCCACCCAGCAGCTTGCTTAACCCATTAAGAACCTCACTCAACCAGCATGTCACTCACTCCCGCACCTCCGATTATCACGGTTGGCTACGTACGGTGCGAAAGAAGTTCAACATACATAGTTTGTTGACCATCCCACGCACATCCGATAAGCACGGTCGGCTACGTACGGTGCGAAAGAAATTCGACATATACACACACAAATACCCCCCCCCCCGCCATCCCCCCCCCCAACCCCCCGCCGGGCCCCGCCCTTACCGCGCGGCACGTAGGCGAAGGAGATGCCGGCGCTCCGCTCTCTCCTCCGGGGCAATTCCTCAGCGTGAACATTTTCCCGGCCACGACCTTCACAGCGGTGGCGGGGGCAGCGGTGGCGGCTGCGGCTGTGGAGCTCGGGCTCGATGGTGTCCCGAGCAGCAGCAGCAGCAGTAGTAGCAGCAGCAGGCAGTGAGAGACGCACAGCAGCGCGAGGTGGGGCTGCTGCCACCCCGGCGAAGCGCGCCTCCTGTTCCACGCGCGAATGTGCGTCCAAAGCGTAGCCATGCGAGGGCGTAGAGTGGTGGAGTCGAACCCGTGGAGTGTGGGGGTTAGGGCGGCGCGGGTGTCAGCGGCGCTGGGCGGAGGTCGCTCCTGGCAGGAGGACGAGGAGGAGGAGCCGACGGCCTCTGGGCTGGGTCAGGCTCGCTCCGCTGCTAGTCCCCATAGCCAGCCGCTCTCGCCTCGTGGCTGCGAAGGGCACAGAGAGAAGCCGTGTGCCCCGTTGCGCGCGCGACGCACTGACGAAGCGAATGTTGTGCTCAAAATGAGCATCGATCGGGACGTTTGGTTGCTCATCTATCGTCTCCAGCCCTTAGCCAGTGGTGGGAATTCCACATTCCTATGGCGCTGGCGGGGTCGGGTTGGGGGGGGGAGCGAGTCGATCCACAGGACAACTACCGTTGACTTCCGCACAAACTGCCACCAAGTGGTGCTCGATTTATCGACCCTGGAGTGATGATGGGACGAGTCAATAAGCCAAGCAGGAGTTGAACTCGCTCTGATACTGAGCAACCCGGATGGCTGATGGTAGTTAGCTAACAGCCCTTGCTCCTACTGTCTGCTAAGGCTATACGTGTGATCTTTGTCTCTGTATGCGTGTGTGTATTTTCAGTGTGTGCTCTTGTGCATCGTATATAACGTGGAACAAAGTGATTTATTAACCTCTGACCGGCGCTATATTTCCCGCTGTTATTTACTTGTGGACCCTTAGCTGCTAATCCAACCAAAGTGTAAAGCATTCCGAATTTTCGACCTCTATATTTAATATTTTAGGGGGCGGGACATGGGGCGTGGGGGGGGGGGGTAAGGAGTGGGGGGGGGGGGGGCGCAAAGGGGGGAGGTGGGGGGGGGCGATTGCGCAGTGGTTAACGCACTACACTGCGAACCCGAATACCTGCGTTCGATTCCCTGCCAATGCTAACATCACAACACAGACAGAGTTCCACACCGTGAAGAACCTGGCACACCTGAGTTCGATTCCTGGCCAATGCTAACATCAAAACACAAAGGAAGTTCTATACCGTGAAGAACCTGGCATACCTGAGTTCGAATCCCGGCCAATGCTAACATCACAACACAGACAGAGTTCCACACCGTGAAGAACCTGGCACACCTGAGTTCGATTCCTGGCCAATGCTAACATCACAACACAGAGGGAGTTCCACACCGTGAAGAAACTTGCAACATCTGAGTTAGATTCCTGGCCAATGCTAACATCAAAACACAAAGGGAGTTCTATACCGTGAAGAACCTGGCACACCTGAGTTCGATTCCCGGCCACTGCTAACATCACAACACAGAGGGAGTTCCACACCGTGAAGAACCTGGCACACCTGAGTTCGAATCCCGGCCAATGCTAACATCACAACACAGAGGGAGTTCCACACCGTGAAGAAACTTGCAACATCTGAGTTAGATTCCTGGCCAATGCTAACATCAAAACACAAAGGAAGTTCTATACCGTGAAGAACCTGGCATACCTGAGTTCGAATCCCGGCCAATGCTAACATCACAACACAGAGGGAGTTCCACACCGTGAAGAACCTGGCACACCTGAGTTCGAATCCCGGCCAATGCTAACATCACAACACAGAGGGAGTTCCACACCGTGAAGAAACTTGCAACATCTGAGTTAGATTCCTGGCCAATGCTAACATCAAAACACAAAGGAAGTTCTATACCGTGAAGAACCTGGCACACCTGAGTTCGATTTCCCGGCCACTGCTAACATCACAACACAGAGGGAGTTCCACACCGTGAAAGAACCTGGCACACCTGAGTTCGATTCCCAACCGCTGCTAACATCGGCGCCGAGTGATCGCAGATCGATGCGTGTGTTGAGTGAGCTGCGAGCTGCGAGCGTGCGCCAACTACCAACACAGCAGCGGCACCATCGCCAGATCATTTTACTTCTCAACCGGTTTCGTATATTGGGCGGTGGAGGCGGTCATGCAGTTGCCGAGTGCACTGAGCTCACGGTCTGGTGAGCCGAGTGAGGGAGTTGAATTTCCAGCGACGGCTCACAACAGTGGTCCGTGACATCCCAAACCGTTCACGGACACTCACCCGCTCTGCGTGGATGTCTATGTGTGTGTGTGTGTGTGCGCGGTCTGTATTTAAAAATGTCATACTTAACTTGCAATTTAGCAATCTTTGAAATAGAGTAATCAACCAGACTATGCGTTAATTGTGTTTTGACACGACCGTCTGTGTTGCTTTATATGGTTAACAAATTTTGCTAAACCCTGTTTGTTTAGTATGCTTCTCTCTCTCTCTGTGTCCCCTGTTGTATCTGTGTTAGTTCCCCCCTACTTGGGTGTCTGTATATACATCTGGGGTTATGTGTTTCCTCTCTCTCGTAAATTTAGCTCTTCTGTACCTGATGATGGCTGCTTGTGTTGCAACCGAAACGTCGTACGCTATTATGTTATTTAATTATTTCTTTTTTTATACGTGACTTTACCGAAAAAAACAAAGAGTAATTCCTGCAGTCACGAAAGCTTCGAACCAAGTCCACTCACCCACTCCTTCACCAATCCGCACTGACCGGCGTGGTGAAGCGTGGTCATTAAACTGCCCCCATAATGAAGGGACGGCCTTCATCCGTAAGTTGCTTGACCAAAAAGGGGCTGTCAAGTATTATTATTATGCTATCTTGGATTTGGTCTAATTATTTGATGGCACTGCTGCAGCTGCTATTGCTGCGTGGTCTTAAAAGGAAATTAATATGCAGCGTTACGGACAAATGACCTTCATAGGATCAAATTGGTACACTGAGCTCAGTATCCGGTAACACGAGCCACACTACGAAGATTGGGCCATTGCCCAAAACGTCTATTATTATGTATCTTTTTTTTATTTCAAGGCCCCAGTGTTATTGACGGATGTGGTAAGATTCATTATTTCCTCATCGTGTTTTGGCTTGGCAGGAAAAAAAAAGCATTGATTATTATTTAATAATTTATTATTGTTCAACGCTGTAGTTCACAGTGTGACGAAAGTATTCTTAGGGGTGCACACGTGAACCCCCTTGCTGCAGTCGTCACTCTAGAGAGACCAGCACAGGCCACGAGACCACTTCGCTGGGACTTTTCATGGGCCCTCACCACCACCACCACGACGACGACGATGATGATTATGATGATGACGATAATGATGATGATGACGATAATGATGATGACGATAATGATGATGATGACGATGATGATGACGATAATGATGATGATGATGACGATGATGACGATAAGATGATGATGACGATGATGATGATGATGATGCTGATGATGACGATAATGATAATGATGACGATATTGATGACATTGAGGATGGCGATAATGATGATGATGACGATGATGATGATGATGATGACGATAATGATGATGATGACGATGATGACGATAATGATGATGACGATGATGATGATGTTGATGATGACGATAATGATGATGACGATAATGATAATGATGACGATGATGATGATGATGATGCTGTTGATGACGATAATGATGATGATGACGACAATAATGATGATGACGACGATGATGATGATGTTGATGATGACGATAATGATGATGATGACGATAATGATGATTATGATGATAACAATCATGATGATGACGATAATGATGATGACGATAATGATGATGACGATAATGATGATGATTATGATCATGACGATAATGATGCTATTGTTGATTATGATGATGATGATTACGATGATTATTATTCGGATGATAATGATGTTGACGACCACGTAACCAGGTGAAATTCATGGCCTCATTTCGTAAAGCCCTGCGCCAGCCCTTGTTTTTTTGCCCTTAAAGAAAATTAAGCATTCAACTCGCATGGGACAGAGTTAACGTGAAGCACATTGGAACACGGTGTCACGCGAACAGGCGATGCCGACTTGGCAGAAGCGAGCGCAATTGTTAGCGAGCACCTATGATAACAGTTGATGGAGTTGATGGGGTTTGTGCGATTAAAAGCTATATAAAAAAAACACATTTTACATTTTAAGTGGAAATGTATTCGTAGCTACTGGACATATGTGTGTGTGGGGGGGGGGGGGGGGGGGGGGGGATTTTTTGCCTTATCATCTGATTCCTCCGGTTACAAAAAAAAATCAATATTCTGATTCAGAGTAGCGGCTAAGGTTTTGAACTGTGAAGGAGATGGCGGTAGCTGGGTTGACAGACCACGTGGACTCGGCCGCCTTTGTCTCCCCGCTGCTCGTATCGATCGCATCTCGCGAACGAATGGTATATGGGCTGAGTCCACCTAGAGGGAATGATAAACCCCCCGCATTATCAGGAATAATTATGGACAACTCGGCTCTTAGACGGTGATGCCAATGAGCGTGAACCGGACCTGGGTGTATATGGTCAGGGAACACGATCCACGTCTGCTGTTACGCAGACAACGACTCCACCCCCCCTTAGACAAGAACAGGCTGTACGTAGCAGGGGCAAGTGCTGTTAGCGAGCACCTATTAAAGCCGGCAAGGGCGCACGGTGGAGAGTGTGTGGCGGTGGTGGTGGCGGTGGTGGTGGTGGTGGTGAGGCAAGGACCACGAGCATAAGGACTCCGTTGGTTTCTGGTACACCCCCCCCCCCACAAACACACACAATTCTGATGTCTACACACTGCACCAGTTAGTAATTTAAGGCTTAGTCGACCTAGATTAGACCCAAGACCGGTTTAAATACGTATAGCTTACACACAGACAGAGACACATATCTCCCGTATAGCCTTAATAGACTGTTGGGGCAAGTGCTTTTCGCGAACACCTATGAAGGCCGGCACAGCACACGAGGGCATGGGTGGCCAACACCACACCCGGCCGCCTTTGTCTCTCTAGTTGCGATGTTTCCACACCGCACCACGTACTCATTTGAGGTTGAATCCGACCTAGAGGATACCCAAGACGGGTTTAAATATATATGTAGCTTACACACACTCACACACACGTGTGTGAGTGGAAGAGCAAATAATGCGCTGCGCTACCGACCTGGCGACCCGGGTTCGATTCCAGCTCACGGTCAACATCAGTGACGATTATCTGAGCCGGTCGTGAGCTTCCCCAAATGTCGACTGATGGCTGACCCACCCCCTCGTGTGACGTGTCGGCCTTCATAGACAGCACTTGCCCCAACAGTCTGTTACAGGCCATATGGGGGATCTTTGTCTGTGAGTGTGTAATAACACACTCACAGACACTACACGATTGGTGCAGTAGTACACACCGTATACTGTGTTAGCTCACAGCGTTATGAATCCGGCCACCTGAGTTCGAGTCCCGGCCACGGCTGACATCAGTGGCGAGTAAATAATCTGAATTGTGCCAACCACCCCCCCCTCCCCCATCCTTCAGCAACCCGCACTGACCAGCGTGGTGAAGTACAGTCAAACAATCCAATAACCGCTTCAACCCGGGGAGACCTCCTCCTTGAACGTACCGTCAAATGAATATGCATTATTAATATGCATGGCTTCAGTTAATGATACACTCGTTCAGATCGTGTAAAAAACTCCAACACTGCCATGTGCTTCATTGCCTATGGTGTGCAGCACTCGAAACTAAACTATTAACTATTTCATTGTTGCCAGGTAAGGCTCACTGAGCTGTATAAGCGCCCTTCCACAAGTGGCTTGTCATATGGAAATTGACAGCAAGCCTGATACCCCAAACGCAAACGCCAAATATACAGCAGCAGGCGTCATGGTCGGGATCGAACCCACGACCTCCTGCATACCAGGCGAGGTAGTTAACATCACATAGCCACCGTGATGATGATGAGAGAGAGAGACACGCAAACTCCAAATATACAGCAGCAGGCGTCAGGGTCGGGATCGAACCCACGACCTCCTGCATACCAGGCGAGGTAGTTAACATCTCCTAGCCACCGTGATGATGATGAGAGAGAGACACGCAAACTCCAAATATACAGCAGGCGTCATGGTCGGGATCGAACCCACGACCTCCTGCATACCGGGCGAGGTAGTTAACATCTCCTAGCTACCGTGATGATGATGAGAGAGAGACACGCAAACTCCAAATATACAGTAGCAGGCGTCATGGTCGGGATCGAACCCACGACCTCCTGCATACCATGCGAGGTAGTTAACATCTCCTAGCCACCGTGGCACCCCTAACTCTGACGGGGTGTGCAAGTTGCGTACCTCCTCTCACCTCTGCCGAAGGCAGCCAACAAGCCGGCCGAAACGTCGGAAGCTTCTTGATCTCACCGATGGGGGACTACAAACGTTTACCATCTCGGCGCCTGCTTTAGCTCGCGCCGCTTCTGTACGCCGATTAGTGGTTAAACACAATAAATCGCTGCTGGGCTTTGCGTGCGCGTGAGAAATGCTAGCCGATCCCATTGCTTGGTCCGCATGATCAGCGATGGGCGCGAGGCTGGTGACGGAGCGTCAGTCGAAGGATGCAAACTCGCCCGAGAAGAGAGAAACGACGGCAGGTCACCCACGCAACACCGCCGGTGGTGATGGGTCGCCCATGACATCGCGTGACAGCGAGAGATGACGACGTCTATCGTGATGCCTTCAATCAGCAGGTGATCGACCATGGGCAATCGTGATCACTAGAGCGGTGTTGTCATTATTATTACTACTACGACTACAACTACTACTACCACCATCATTATTATTAGACGCTGTATGTTTAAGTCTCGCCGCGTGATCCGGATAAGCTGGGATCAGCCAGATCAGCACCTCAAGATATTGGCTGCTACAAGACAGTCACTGCACCACAGGACAGTCACTATACCACAGGACAGTAACTATACCACAGGACAGTCACTATACCACAGGACAGTAACTATACCACAGGACAGTCACTATACCACAGGACAGTCACTATGCCACAGGACAGTCACTATACCACAGGATAGTCACTACAACACAGGATAGTCACTACACCACAGGACCGTCACTATACCACAGGATAGTCACTATACCACAGGACAGTCACTACACCACAGGATAGTCACTACACCACAGGACAGTAACTATACCACAGGATAGTCACTATACCACAGGATAGTCACTATACCACAGGACAGTAACTATACCACAGGACAGTAACTATACCACAGGACAGTAACTATGCCACAGGATAGTCACTACATCACAGGACCGTCACTATACCACAGGACAGTCACTATACCACAGGATAGTCACTATACCACAGGACAGTCACTATATCAGAGGACAGTCACTATACCACAGGACAGTCACTACACCACAGGATAGTAACTATACCACAGGACAGTAACTATACCACAGGACAGTCACTACACCACAGGACAGTCACTACACCACAGGATAGTCACTATACCACAGGACAGTCACTATACCACAGGACAGTAACTATACCACAGGACAGTCACTATACCACAGGACAGTAACTATACCACAGGACAGTCACTATACCACAGGATAGTCACTATTCGACAGGACAGTTCCTTTACCACAGGACAGTCACTATACCACAGGACAGTCACTATACCACAGGACAGTCACTATACCACAGGACAGTCACTATACCACAGGACAGTCACTATACCACAGGATAGTCACTATACCACAGGACAGTCACTATCTCACAGGATAGTCACTATACCACAGGATAGTCACTATACCACAGGATAGTCCGTTTACCACAGGATAGTCACTATACCACAGGACAGTCACTATACCACAGGACAGTCCGTTTACCACAGGATAGTCACTATACCACAGGACAGCCACTATATCACAGGATAGTCACTATACCACAGGATAGTCCGTTTACCACAGGATAGTCACTACACCACAGGACAGTCACTATACCACAGGACAGTCCGTTTACCACAGGATAGTCACTATACCACAGGACAGCCACTATATCACAGGATAGTCACTATACCACAGGACAGTCACTATACCACAGGACAGTCACTGTACCACAGGACAGTCACTATACCACAGGACAGTCACTATACCACAGGACAGTCACTATACCACAGGACAGTCACTATACCACAGGACAGTCACTATACCACAGGATAGTCACTATACCACAGGACAGTCACTATACTACAGGACAGTCACTATACAACAGGACAGTCACTATACTACAGGACAGTCACTATACCACAGGACAGTCACTATACCACAGGACAGTCAGTACACCACAGGATAGTCACTATACCACAGGACAGTCACTGTACCACAGGACAGTCACTATACCACAGGACAGTCACTGTACCACAGGACAGTCACTATACCACAGGACAGTCACTATACCACAGGATAGTCACTATACCACAGGACAGTCACTATACCACAGGACAGTCACTATACCACAGGACAGTAACTATACCACAGGACAGTCACTATACCACGGGATAGTCACTATACCACAGGACAGTCACTATACCACAGGACAGTCACTATACCACAGGACAGTCCCTATACCACAGGACAGTCACTACACCACAGGACAGTCACTATACCACAGGACAGTCACTACACCACAGGACAGTCACTATACCACAGGACAGTCACTATACCACAGGACAGTCACTATACCACAATACAGTCACTATACCACAGGACAGTAACTATACCACAGGACAGTCACTATACCACAGGACAGTCACTATACCACAATACAGTCACTATACCACAGGACAGTCACTATACCACAGGACAGTCACTACACCACAGGACAGTCACTATACCACAGGACAGTCACTATACCACAGGACAGTCACTATACCACAGGACAGTTACTATACCACAGGACAGTCACTATACCACAGGACAGTCACTACACCACAGGACAGTCACTATACCACAGGACAGTCACTATACCACAGGACAGTAACTATACCACAGGATAGTCACTATACCACAGGACAGTCACTACACCACAGGACAGTCACTATACCACAGGACAGTCACTATACCACAGGACAGTCACTGTACCACAGGACAGTCACTATACCACAGGACAGTCACTGTACCACAGGACAGTCACTATACCACAGGACAGTCACTGTACCACAGGACAGTCACTATACCACAGGACAGTAACTACACCACAGGACAGTCACTATACCACAGGACAGTCACTATACCACAGGACAGTCACTATACCACAGGACAGTCACTATACCACAGGATAGCCACTATACCACAGGACAGTCACTATACCACAGGACAGTCACTGTACCACAGGACAGTAACTATACCACAGGACAGTCACTATACCACAGGACAGTCACTATACCACAGGATAGTCACTATACCACAGGACAGTCACTATACCACAGGACAGTCACTATACCACAGGACACTCACTATACCACAGGACACTCACTATACCACAGGACACTCACTATACCACAGGACACTCACTATACCACAGGACATTCACTATACCACAGGACAGTCACTATACCACAGGACAGTCACTATACCACAGGACAGTCACTATACCACAGCACAGTCACTATACCACAGGACAGTCTCTCTATTCGAGGATAGTCCCTACATCAGTGTAACGCGCCGATGTCCCGAGGATGATAGGTGACCCAGAGCTGCCTTCATGATCCATTCATGTGCGCGAACATTCACTCACACGTGGAGCTGTTCTGCTTTTCCTCGCTGCTGCTGCTGCTTCTGCTCTTGCTGATGATGGTGATCCTGCTGCTGCTGATGATGATGATGATTCTGACGGTGTCGATTTCGGTCGTGCTTCCGCGTTTGATTGCGCTGTAGCTGCTGGTCACCGTTTATTGTGCTGTTGACAATGCCTTTGCGGATGATGGTGCCAACGTCGTTGCTGTTGTTGACGATGCTGTCCAGGTGTTGCTGCTGCTGCTAAAGCTGTTGGTTCTGGGGTTGAGGCAGCTGTTGGCGATGTCGCTTCTGCTGTTTACTTCTGCTGATCGTTTGCCGTTACCCGTGGTGGCGGTCGTCATTCAGTGCTCTCCGTAATGCCGCAGCTTTGATGATGCATCGTCGATTCTCTTGGAGGCTTCGCCGTCGGCACTTTGCTGACGCTGCTGCTCGTGATGATGCTGCTGATCGTAGTGCCAGGCGGTACCGATTGTGCTGTCGCCGAAGCTTGAGGCTATATCACTCTGCAGCTGTCCTCGGTTTTGTTGCCACGGGGATTCTTCTCCCATTCGCTCCTCCACCACCACCACCACCACCGACCTCCTCCTCCAGACGCGCTCTCAACTCCCCTTCCACGCCGCTTCTCCTATCGCTTCCACCTCCCTAGCGGCCGTCAGCTCGCGCATCCACCCTTGCCCAGCCTTTGCCCGCCTCTCGTGGGCGATTTTCAGACGCGCGCGCCGTTAACAACAACAGCAGCAGCAGCAACAACAACAACAACGAGAACACAAACAGACGCCAACAGAGAGCAGGACGATTGCGGCAGTCGGAACACGTTGGTAGAGCAGTCACCCCGTGCTGTGCTGGAGCACCGCAGCCTGTCATGCGTGTCACTCCGATCGCGTGCTCGGAGGTTCCCGCTGATGAGGAGCGAGAGAGAGAGAGAGGGGGGAGGTAGCGCAAGAGAGAGCACGAGGGAGCGAGTTATCGGGCGATGCGCCGCAACTCTGCCGATCTTGTTGAGCTGGCGTCGTGGATAAAGTGTCTCCACCTCCTTCCCTCCCTCCCTCCTCCTCCTCCTCCACCCCGCGTCTCCCTAAACCGGACCCCCCCCACCCAATCCCCTCTACCACCCCTTCCCCCCCCCAACATTCTCGTCCCCTCCCCTCGCCGCTAGCACCACCTCCTCATACAATTACCACACTCACCATCCACCAGACACCCCACCCCACTCTCTGCCCTCCTCCCCGCTCACCCTACGATTCTTCCCCACCCTCTCCCTCCCTCTCTCCCACCAACCCTCTCGCTCTCTCTCTCTGTTCGTGGGCGCGTGTTAGCCTCGCATCCATGGTTACAGCAGCCCGAGAAACACTGCTCGCACGCGCACGCACGCGCACACGCACGCACGCACGCGCGCGAGCGCACCCAGAGAAAAAAATAAAGAGAGAGAGAGAGATTGTGTCCGCGGAGCAATCACTCCAAATTAAATCATTAGGTGCATTAGGTATTCCCTCCATTCCTATAGCGGCGAGGTTTTCACGGTGGCGCTTTTGTTGCACTGATGGGTACAGGGGGCTGCCAGTAGTCTTGCAGTAGGGGGCGATGCTGCTGTGTGGTTTTAGACCCAAATTAGACCCACATTCGCGATGGGATATATTTAGTTTGTATCTTTACTACAAATTTTGCCAAATTCCCATCCGTGAACGCGGGCATACAAATAGCCTATTCTGTTGTTGTTGTTTTGGTTTTAGAGCAACGTCACTCCATCTCACGCCAGCTGTTCACGGTTAATTACGCGCGCTGTATTAACCAATGGGCGTCCCGCTGGGTTCGACCACGAACCTCTACAAACAAAGAAGAAGTGGCGAACTCGCGCTACAGTTTGGCCGTGTCAGCAAACGGTCGATGTAGGGCATCGGGTAGAATATTGGGCTTCACCCATAATCAACAACCATCATCATCATCATCAGCAGCAGCAGCATCATCATCATGAGCAGCATCAGCAGCATCACCATCATACGAAGCATCATTGATTGGGATGACCTATAATCGTGAATGCGCCAATCGTGCCCTATCTACGGTGGCCGTAAGATTGTCAGTACAGCAATTGAGTAATTATTAAAACTATCTGTACGGAGGCATTGTGTTTCGTCTCGAGACTCACTAAGGCTTGCCTGGATAAAATATTACGTATTTCATTACGGCCACATAGTTGCGGTGACGTCACCACGGCGCTTGTGCCAGGATAGGTGCACTTTAAGGTAACGTAAAGTGTCGAACACTCGCTGGCAGGAGGTCACGGGACAGTCCCAGGTGCCATGGTTTGACTGACTGAGATTACTGGCAGATGCACCAAATGTGCCCTCGAGTGTGCCAACATTATGACCACCACCTCTACTACCAGCATCAACAATATAATCTTTGCTCATCATCATTCTTATCACAATCACTCTCAAAGGGATAGGTAAATGAGAACACTACAACCTAAGGGTTCGCTACTACTCGATGGGAATTTAAAGGTGGTTTAACCGATAAGGAACACACTGCACCCCGTCATGGAAACGCGGACATTTACACCACTTGTTCAAAGCCCTTAGCGGAGATGATCACCCACCCGTGACCCCTGTGAGCAGTTGGGACAGTTCGTCTAAACTTTTCCCACGCACTCCATGGCCGAGTGTGTTCAGCACGTGTGCATGGACGCCCCTACTCGTGTGCTGCACCAATATATAGTCCCAGTGTCCTAGAGCCACATTAAGTCTGAGCACTGAACACCGCCCACCTCCACCATCAGCACGATCGTCAGCATCATTACCAAGTTAAATAAATCAAGATATAATCGGCGACGTTTCGAGCTATGGCCCCTTCGGCATAGCATAATCCCCCCCACTCCAATACCGGCAGAATAGTGACCACTTTCGGGCGCGGTTATTGAATCACTTTGCGCCTCACCTGTTACAGCTCTTAGTGGGAGCCTCCGCTCGGGTGGGAAAATATAAACGAAGCACAGCTGGACAATTGAAATGTGATGGCACGTCACGTATGTTGACTTTCTTTCGCACCGTACGCAGCCAACCGCGCTCGTCGGCAGTGCTGATAAATGTGAGATGTCAGACGTTTGGGATGAGGCGTGGTGATGATGATGATGGAGAAGATGTTGGGAGATGCTATGGGGCGTTTATGCGTCCTGTAGTCTCCTTAATTGGTGTCGTTGTGATAGAAAAGGAGGCGTGCTGGAATAATTATGTTTCATTTACGATTCACAGAGTTCCCTTTCTTCTCCCCTTAGTCTCTCAACACAATCACTAATTTGTGTTCAAACAATCACCGCGTATTGTGTGTGTATGTGGTGGGGTGTGTGCGGTGGTGGTGGCTGGCGGCGCTTGTGTTGTGTGTGTGTGAGTTCTATTAGCATACGCTAATACCACAACAGGGTCTCGTTCCAAAGCAGATGCGCGCTAATAATTTAAAATTCATTGCGTTCGCCAGCTTTTGGGATTGTTTGACCCAGTTCCATAGAGTGCCCCCCACCCCCCATCCCCCCTCCCCACACCTCCCCCAGGAGTAGTCGATGCTCGTGGCACGCCGTGTGGCAGATGTTGCACGGTGGTCGCCCGCTCGTCTTGAGGCAAGCGCAATGGTTTTCATCTCCTCCTCACCGCCTCCCCGTGTCTTAATATTTTGTTAAACGAAGCCCCTGTGAATTGGGCGCACTTGATTTTCCGCTTTGTCTTAACAAGGCCGGGTGAATTGAGAAATAAAAAAAAGCCGCGCCTGACGAAACGGGAAACATTGAATAAAAACTATCCTCGAAATCAAAGCTAATGCGGACCGGCTTGGGATTTGGTTCAGTGGCAGATTGTTAATTCTCCTCTGCGTGGCCCCAGCGTTTGTTTCGAATTCGTTTTCCCCACCCAGCCCTCCGTGCTGTTGACTCCCTTGCCCCCTCTGGCATCCCAGCCCCCCCCCACTCCGCCCAGACCGACTCTCTCTCTCCGCCTATGCCTACGACGCGAGGCGCTGTCCCTGGTGCTGATTTAAAAAAAACCGTTTTTATTTTACCAGCTAAGGCCCACTGAACTATCATAGCTCTTTTTTTTCTGAAGCGACCTGGCCACAAATGATAGCTTAACGAAGTGGCTCATCATCACGTGGAAACGTATCGCAAACAAACACTCTAAACGCGTGACATTGATTCTAAATTTAGGTGGAGAAACCGGAGGACTCGGGGAGAAATCCACGCGACCACCGAGAGAACATGCAAACTCCAAAATGTACAGGCGTCAGGGTCGCAAGGGAGGTGTTCTTACATGTTGTGTATCGTTGGGGGCCGCACTAAAGGCCACCAGGGGCCGCCGGTTGTCCTGCGGGCCTTGCAATGCAGAACACTGCGCACCAACCGATATGCGAACCCTTTGTCAACCCTGTGCCCTGCCTGAACTCGTAGCAATCAGCAGTGCGCCGATGTCACTGAGCAGAAGGCAACGTGCTCAGTAGTGTAAACAAATGATCGAGTGTCCCGGTCATAGCTGCAATCATTAAAAGTTGCTGAGAATTACACGCGGAAGGGAGAAAAAAAAACCCTCTAACTTTGATCCAGCGCCAAGTATGGTAATTTTCACTAAGAGCCCCATATGTTTTATTCATCGCGACGTCACCATAATGGTGGCGCCGTGCGCATCGTGGTGGGTGGTGGGGGGGGGGGGGGTGTCAGGCCGCCTGCAATTAATGAACGCGAGTGTGATGATTAACAAGAATTTAATCACTAAACTTTAAAATTAATGCGCTGTGTACGAATCCAATAACAACGCCGCCAATCAAGGACTATTACGGCTGTACATGGGCGGCACAAGAGAAATTTAAAAGTTAATCGGTCGAATATTGGCATTCTTTGACGCCACTATCTTGAAATGAATGATGGCTATAACTCATAGAAACGGCCCTCCTTCATATCACTTGTGGCATATGCTATTAAGCATTCAGCACATATGCAATGGCCCTTATTCATATCACATGTCATGTGGATAAGAGCCATTGCCCTAAAATGTCCCCTATGATGTATATATATATTTCTTTTAAGGTGGGGTTATTGAGGAATGTGTTGCGTTTTTATAAATCGTGCTTCTGCACTACGGCCAACGCAGTATCACCATACTATATAATACATTTGCATGGAGCATTGTAATATTGAAAGGTAAATTATCCTCCTGCAGAGGTCCAATAACAATTGCTCGATTTTAACGGTGAAGCGCTCTCCATGCTCCTGGAAGTGACTATGCATGGCGCTCTCTGTGTTACTGGAATGTAGCACATGAGGCACTGTTCGTGGTTCTGGATGTGACCACGTGAGGCGCTGTCCGTGGTGCTGGAATTCACCATGTGAGGTGCTGTTCGTGGTGCTGGAATTCACCACGTGAGGTGCTGTCGCTGGGGCTGAATGCAATCATGATGCGAAAACATAGGAGTCACCCACTCTAATAATAACAATGCAATTTATAACGCGCGCAAATTTGCGGACGTAACGGCCGCAACTCAGAGGCGCGGAGCCAAGCTCAGAGTCACTCGAAAGCGTGGTTGTAGAGGTGAGTTTTTTAGTGTCTCTTGAAGGTCGACGATTGAAGTGATGCTGCGATTGTGCGGAGGGATTGCGTTCCAGACTGTTGGGGCAGTCACCGAGAAGCGGCGCATAGACGTGACCGTCCTGGATCTTGGTATCAAGAGGAGGTCGTGAGTCGCACTGCAAAGGCAACTGCCGTGTGCCGAGCTGCAAGTCGCCAATAATGAAGAGAGGCACGGGGGGCAGGAAGATGTGAAGGCGCGGTGGCAGAAACAGGCGATCTTGTATGTGACATTGCTGGCAATGGGTAGCCAGTGGAGGGCACGGAGACAGGCCAAGCGAGTCGAGTCGGGGATGAGTGTGGTCAATGACGATGCGTGCCAGGTTGTTTTGGAGTCTTTGAAGTTTTTTGAGGTTGCCAGAGGAGGACCGGACAAGGACGGAGTTGCAATAGTCGAGGCGAGACCCAACTATGCAACGTGCCAATGTGTTGGCAGTTTCAGTGGTAATG